CGAGTGGTCGACCACCACTAAAGACGATCATGGTGGTTTGGAGCGGCTCGCGTATTTTCTTCGAGGTGACCGTGGAGCGTTGTGAACCAAAAGCCAAATTTGGACCTAGGGATATTTTGATTAAGTTTCCCGAGGCCAGACCCATTTCGTTTCTTGGCGTTTTTTGATGGCCGAGGATTCTGGCAGCGAAAATGTGGTCATGGAAGCGAGAATCTCGCGCGTCGCCAGCCTCTCCGCAGGAGAAGCTCCTGGTGCGTTTGGTTGCATTCCCGAGCGCGACATGTATTCTGGTTATCCGCAGGTAGCAGAATGGCCCCAAACTCACTTGGCATTGCAGCACATTGTCTATACCCACTTTCACATCGAGAATCTGTCTGCCGCGCGGCGGGGCAAGAGTGCATGCTGTGTCCCATCGCTTGTGGGAGCTCAGTCGTCTCTACGCAGAGATCACAAACCTCAGCATTGGGGATGTTACTAGCAGCAGTCACGCGCGTCTCATCCAATGCCTCGTATCGACGAGACCCTCTCACTCGTTCAACGAGGGCATCACGTGGTTGCCTGACTTGTCTGATGCGCATCACGGCGGTAATCTTGGCAACGCGACCCACTTTGGAGAACGAGGTGGCGGTCGTCGATCCACGATTGACGAAGGGTAATGCGAACGTGAAGAACATGCGCTACTTTTTTCGGCTGGTACCACGAATTCGTGGGCACCGAGTACCTCGAGCAGCGCACTGTGACGGAACATATATAAGTTCTTCACGCCTCCCCTGCACCCGTGATGCCTGCCAGCCCGATGGACATCATTGATTTCCACGACCATGGGCATAGCGATGTCTGGTTATCTCATCAGCGCTCTGGCGCTTCAATGATGGCCGTCGACGTCGCCAACGACAATTCGACACCGACTGCGACGTAGACTCAGATGAACTGGGCTGTTTCGCCGAAGTATGTTTGATTAGCCGCGTGGTCAGAGTGGTTCTGGATGGGCCCCAGCATGAAGCGACGTGCCCTACGGACAGCCAGGTAAGTTGGTTTGATATGAGAATCCGGCCCGAAGTTTCAAATCGCGCGAAGGCGCCGGACTGTCGGTCCAGCCAGCCCAGGGGCCGTCGGCCCAGGCAGCCGGGTTTTAAAAAAGGGGTTTGGCGACAGGTCGCGGGCGATGGCCGCGGCGTCGGGCGCGCGAAGACGATTGCAGGGGCCCCCGCAGACGTTGGCGAGGGCCCCCTTTCGGGAGTGTCAACCGCGCCTCGGGCGTCGGATCTGGGTGCGGGTCCGCTGCGGATCCTATGCGGATCCGATGCTTGTTGGACGTATATTATGTCAATTCGATATGTTTGGGGGGGTCCGACTGGTGGGGAAATGGCGTATTTGGCACGGATCTTGATGGGCCACTGCGCCCGTGAACAATATTAATGAAGGGCAGCGAGGGACTCCTAGGACGACTTGTGGCGGGGCACGGAGCAGTCGCGACGGGAGGGGTGGGGGAAAGGCGCCTTCTAGAATTTTATTGAGGCGTTCCTTTAGAACTTTGCTCAGGCGGCTCCTTCCAGGACTTTCCTCAGACGGCTCCTTCTACTCTGCTGAGCTGCTCCTCTGGGTTCCGACGTTTTGGCCGTCGCGCGTTTTGATATGTGGGCCTCGCCGTCGCTGGCGTCGTCCTCGTCGTCGCTGGCGCCTTTTTGAGGTTCAGAGTCGGGCCGCGTGTTGATTCAGTGACGTTTCCAGTCCAGGCAAATTCTGCCGCGCTTCCAGTCCTGGCAAATCGTGCCAACTCTACCTTGCAGTCTGTAAAGAAGTAGCGACCGCGCGCGCGTGCGTCTCGTCGAGGACAAACGGGCCGCCGTGGTCAATGAGGACGACCTGCTGACCAGGCAGGATACTATCAATGGCCCCAAGCAGGCATCCTTGGCGCTGCTGGCCAAACTCAAGGTCTGGTTCGACAGCGAGTGCCTCGCGACGGATTTGCCACCCAGGGCTCATAATTGCACGACGTCAAGATGCGTTTGCAAATATCGGAACGAATGAGTCGGGGAAGTCGAAAAGACGAGCTGATTGCGTCTGGCACGATGTGGCTTCATGGGCCATGGGGGCGTTTCCAGTGGAGACCTTTTCAGGCACTGCCCGGCTCGCATCGCGGCGGCTTCTGGCCGGTGGGGCTGCGTGCAGTCCCGATTGGATTTTGGCCAGCCTGGACGTTGATGTAGCGTGGCTCAAGGGACTGACTTGCCGAATCACGAGAGAGCAAGAACGTGCCGTCTTCTTTCCGCAGCCTTCGGGTCGTGCTTCGGCACTTCCCTCGCTGCCTGGATTTGAGAACTATGACGAAGCATGACGCTGCCTCGAGCGTCTCAGGCCAGGTAGTTGCGCCGAGGACGCACCGCGCGCTATCCCCCTCAAACTCACAGAGACCGCAAGCAGGATCGGCCTCATATCTATATCGCATGACCAGGGAATTGAGGCCCCCAACGACGTATTTATTCGGCGAGTGCAAACCGAACGCGCATGCCTACCTGTGCGCGGTCCGCTACGCCGCGACCAAGGACGGATGCGTAGTTATGGGCCAGTATGAGTGCATTAGACATCCCCGCCCAATCGCTCGCCCTGAGCTAGTCGGTGCCCCTCCAAACGCGCAGGCTACCAGAACTGCCAGTGACGTGTTATGTAGCCTCGGGGGGGCTTTGGCCCGCGCGACCCTCGCGCTGCTTTGGATCATGGTATGCGTTGTTTTTCGTTGGCGGATCCAGGGCCCTGCGGGCGTCCATGCCTGACGACTGAACGCCCTTCGCCCTTTACCCAAGAGTCGTTGTAACAATCGAAGGCAATTACGTGCAAGGCCATGCCGCCCGATGGCTCCGATCTGCCCGGCGATTCGGGGGATGGGGAACCCGCCGGCAAAGAGGGCGATGAGACGAAGGGATGTGGTTTTTGAGGCCGCAACCTCTTGGCCCGTGGGAAAACGAGCAGTAGGAACAAGCTGCGCATTGCATCGTCGACCCGCGTAGGTCCCGTTGCTTCCGCATGTGGCCCAGTGAGCCGCAGAAGCATTTGCTGCAGCACATAATTTGGACGAGTGTTCTCCACTGTTGGTCGCGCTTCGCTATCTCATCAGGGGTCCTCCATGATCGTCTGAGCTCGAGCACATTCGAGAACCTAGAGGGACCTGTTTCCTATGATCCCTTACAAATGCCGGGTCCATGGGAAAGTCGCTCTCCAGCAAGGGCCTTCATACGCTAATCGAGAAACATGTTTAGGCCACGTGAGCTGGCAGCGCGATTTTATGGATCTCGGTGCCACTACTCATATTTAGTGGTGTGATACCCGCGATATGTCAGCGGACGGCCACGCTAACGGATCTGTCGGCCGTGATCTACTTGTGCGACTTATAGATTGACACCAGAGCTACAAGTACGTAGTCGAGTCAGTTGTTCCTGATCGTGGTGGCAACACTCTTCGTGCCGACAAGTGGCCGTGGCGGCTGCACGTGCGCCCAAACAGACCCGAGAGGTCTGGCGGGTTTCTCGCTTTCAGTCACTTTGTGCGTAAATCGATGGGGGGGGGGGGGCGCATCGTGTTTCCACGCTCCACCCCGCGCCCAGTGCCGCGGGAGCGCCACTTCACGCCGATGTCGTGGACTCGCGATTTCCGCTTGATCTTTCTGCGCCTAAGAGGGGTCAGCCCTCATCGGCCTGCAAATGGGTTTTCAGGGCCGACCTCCGTCCGCCCTGCTGGAAGCTGTGATCCTCAGCTTGCCTCTGCCCAGTTCACTTTATCCACGAATGCAGCACTGATCTGGTGGCTGGACCAGCTGGCGACCGATCCTTTGCAGCTTGCTGCGCCCCGTGAGCCTTGTATCTGGCGGTCGCGGGCAATGTTCGTCTCCCCCCTCCGAGTTCGAACGTGCGCTCCGAGGGTGAGCGTTGCATAGTTTGCTAGGCCCGCTACCGTCTGGGCCCAAGGCTGCGTGACCGCGCCGCGGTGCGCAATCTGGTGCCTTGGGCTGGAAACGGCCATCTCCCCGCATCTCTATTATTCTATGCGATGAGACCCCAAACGCGTTTTTTTTGTTATCTCCTCCTCGGAGCGTATACCGTGTATAGACGTGTGTGCGTGTGTGTATTGTACACGCGTACGCACTGAACTTGCACACGCACGTATGCATGGACATGTATACATACACATCTGACAACATACATTTTGGTGTGTACGTGTGTGCGTGCACACACGGGCGGATCTTCCAAGTCTGCTGTGGACGCACGCGATTGGGATGCGAAAGGGAAGGCATGAGGGTGGGGACAGCGAAAAGGATAATGATATTGCGTAAAAGGATGATAAAGGATAATGCTGCGGAAGTTCAGGAGCCAATGACGCATTCTACCAAACACGGGCACACATAACCATTGAATCGCTCAACAGTTCAGGGATTTAATGGAAGAAGCAACGCAACCAAGTAGGCAAGGCAACACGCATGCAAGGCATGACGTAGGCAATTATCGAGGAGGATATCAATGTAAGGTGGAAGCGTGCAGGCGGTCAAGAAAGCAGGCAGGCCCCCGGAGCCACGGCGATTACCCTGGGAGCCAGAAGGCCACTACTCAAGCAGGCTTCGGGCAACGATCATAGCATTGTTTGAAGCAGGCTTTAGTGATATGTGGTCCCCGCTGCATTGGATCGCGCCTGCTCCGTACTGCATGCTGGAGGTCGGCACCTCTTGGGTGCGCAACACATGGGGACAGGAAGACCAGGAACTGGAGGAGAAAGGATGAAGATGAGTAGTCGCAGTAGTTAGGAGATGGGGTATTGGAGGTGGAGGAGAGGAGGGGGATGAGGACTAGGAGAAGTGGGCGGATGGGTTGGACGAAGAGGAGTTGGAGTTGGCGCGGACGGAGGCCGAGGAGCTGCAGGAGGAAGAGCACAGGGAAGGGACAGATGGGGGCGGGGGAGTGTGGGGGGGGAAGGGCTGGGGCCGCCTCGCCAGCAAACCGCTCCACGCCCAGGCCCGTAAGCGGGCCGTGCTGGCGCCGCCGCCGCCGCCTGCTCCGCCAGCTGCGCGGCGGCGCTGCGCGGCCGCCAGCCGCAGCAGGAGCGCAAGGCGAGAGCGGCGAGGCACCCGCGGCCCCGTCGCTGCTGGTGTCGCCCCGCCCGTCCCTCGCCTCCGCTCTCGCTCCCTTTTCTCTCATTCCGCCTCCCACCGCTCCGTCTCGCCGGCAGGGTCCTGCCGCGGTCCTGCCGGAGTCCTGATAGGGTCCCGAGGGAGCCTGGTTCGGTCCTGGTGCGGTTCTGGGCAGGGCCCCTGTAGGGTCGTGGACGAGTCCTGGTGGAGGCCCGGTGCGATCCCCGCAGGCTCCTGGAAGTGCCCTGGAAGGGCCTTGGTGGGATCCCCGAAGGGTCGTGGATGTGGGAAGTCTCAGGCGCCGCGTCCGTGCGGCAAATGCACTGGCCGGCGCGTTGGCGAGAACATGATTTCGACTGGCATGGCAAGCGTCAAGCTGTCTTGCGACGGCGGGGTCGTTATCGCCATGACGTGACGTCGTTCGAGATTTGGGAGTTACGCAGCCCACCGAGTGAGCATCACCGCCCTACCAGTGGTTTTGTCGTTAAACAGTTTTGCGCCACGTAGACGCTGATGACTTCTGCACCACTTGCCTCTCAGGAGGGTGCCGCATGGCGCTGTCAAGACGGTCGGCAAGCCGCAATTCATGACTCAAAATTGAGAGGAGGTATTCCAGTCCTAGACGCTGTTCCTTGGGCAACGGGAGGCCAGTCTTTTTGGCTCTCCGTAGTCATCCTGGCCCACAGGATGCAGGGGGTGTTGGACACACTCTTTGCATACCCAGGGACTCTCGGCATCGGCGCGGTTCTCGGCACTCGTCTTTCGGCCTCACAGCCGTGCTTCTGCCATTGCGGTACCAGCGGCCCAGGCCTGCTCCAGGGACAGCTGGACCGCTGCACCGCGGCGGGCCTCGCACCGGCGCCGGCGCGGGGTGGCGCGGAGGTAGGCGGCCTGCCGGGCCGCCTGGGCGTGGGCCGCGCTTGGGCCGGTGCCCGGGCCAGCCGTGGGGACATTCTTTGGGGTGTGCATCACGCTGGCCATCGTCCGGCGTGTGGACTCGCAGCCTGGCGCGAGGGTGCCGTTGATCGAGGACAAGAAGCTTGTGATTGTGGACGGCAGCCCAGCGCCGGGCGAGGTGGCGGCCAGGCCCGAGGTCGTGACACTGTCGACAGCTCGACGTCATGGCTGAGACCTTGGACGCGGACCTATTTCAACTATGCATTGATATTCCAAAAATAATGAGAATTTCAGGTGGCATAATCATGTTCTTCTCTACGAGTCGGGACTGGGTCGGTAGGTAGCTTGCTCGCCCGACTTCGGGATCGAGGTGGTCGATCTCGCGACCCACCGCGTCGCGCCGCTCAACCGAGGTAAAGTTTGCGGGTTCGACCCGCCAGCGGAAGCGCAGAAGGAGGACATGCACATCCAGGGCCTTCAGCTCGCGAAGGTGCTTGATTGCCCTGAAGGTGCCGACGCTGATGATTCTGTGGTGCACGACATCGATTTCGAGGTCGAGCTGTCGTTGTTCGAGGCTCGTCAGCCTGTTCTCCTTCATCCTGAAGGTGCTCATTCTCTGCCGGGTGTCGTCGCTCATGAGCACCCTGGCTCTGTATCTGCGCCAGCTGCCGATTCCAACGACTTTGATTTGCACGAGGCTTTTACGAAGCTGCTCTTCATCAGCATGTTTGCGATGAGGTGGACGACTGTGAACCCGACGGGTGTGATCGCCCTGTTGCTGCCGCTGCTTCTTGTGGCGTTCTTTGGCCTCCTCCTAGTTTGTGTGGCGCTCGGCGCTCTTGATGATGTGGCTGCTGGTTCGTGTGACGCTGGTGCTCCGGATCGGCTGGATGGGCAGTGCCGTGGCTCGTCCAAGGCATTCGTTTTTTGGCTTAAATGTCCTCGGCATTGGCCCGCGGATTGCTAGGAAAGCTGCGTGCAGGTTCTTTCCTGCTTGCTGCTATGGCGACGACTGCAGATATTCCCACTCTGAGGAGATCACAGAGGCCGCAGTTGCTGTGGAGCATGTTCGCTTGTCTCGTCTATGCTCGGATCTTGCCTCGGCGACGCTGCTGGCTACTACCTTATGGCGTGGGCGAGCTGCTGGTCGGAGTGCTCTGAAGATTCGTGCGATCCAACGTGATGGCGCTGATGAGCACGAACGCGGTGGCGATCCCACATGTGTGAAGCTTCTTCTTGGTGCCCGTGCCCACGTTCTCCCTGGAGGAGCTGGATTGCCTGAGCATGGTGGCGAGCCTGCAACTGATGAGCTTCCTCCTGATGCCCGCGCCGACGTTCTTCCTGAAAGTGCTGGTCTGCAGGCATGAGGTGGTGATCCCGCCGCTGATGTTCCCCTTCCTGACGCCGACCTCCAACTTGACGGCGCTGATCTGCATGAGCGTGGTGGCACCGCGTGTGATGGTCCTCAGGACCGCGAGGACGATGGGCACCATTGTCCCCAGCCTCGCCTGCACGAGGGAGGCGAGCCTGCTGGACTTCTGGGCCCTTCTGATGCCGATGGCGCTGCTGATGGTCCTTCCGCTGCTGATCATGCCCTCACTGCGCCCCTGCCGCCACCTGACGATGCTGATGGCGTGCCTCCAGTACTTCAGCTTCCTTCAGGGCGTCGGCCTCATGTCGGTGGCGCTGCTATGGGTCCTGCCGCTGCTGATCAAGCTTTTGCTGTTCGTATTCGGGGACAGGTGGTGCCAGGGGCCCCTCTCTTTCGATGTGGTGATTTTCTGCGGCTTCGCTGCTGCAGTAGGGCGCTCTCCGTTCATGCCGACCCCGACCTCTTGTCCATGGACGTCGACATTAGCCCGAGATTCGAGGCTTTCGCCGACTCCTTCGACTCCCAGTCGCCCGCGCCCGACGAGTACGGCTTGCACTTTGCCGCGGCGTGGGCTCCCCGTGCCATAATCTCTGCCGAACTTCGCGTTCGATGGGGCGTCCACGACGTTAACTCGTTCGTGGCCGCCGACTCCAACTCCGACTTCGCCAGCGACGCCGTGCCCCTGAGTGCCTCGGAGGGCGCGCGGTGGCCCGTATAGGCGCGGTCTGGCCTCCAGGGACGCTCGCTCCTCCTCCTCCTCCTCCTCCTCCTCCTCTTCTTCCTCCTCCTCCTCCTCCCCCTCCCGCATCTCCCCCCCCTCCCCCCCTCCCCTCCCCCAGTGATCCCGCCTGTCGTGTATCCAAACGAGCGAGATTCGCGAGGCCACGGCCTCGCCCTGGTCTGAGATCGGCCCGGACACGGTCCGCAACGGTGGTCGCATCGCACCGCGTCCCCGCTTTCGCTCTCCCGCCCTCCCGCTCTCGCCGCCCTCCGCCGCTCACTCAGGCGGCGCCGCTCCCGGACGGCCCGGCCGCTTCGCCTCCAGGCCGCCCCGTGCCGGCCGCGCGCGGGCTGCACTGGCACCCCAAGGTTCGGTGCGTCTGCCTGGGCTGGCTTCGAGGGCTCCCGCTGCCAGATGGGGCCGCCATGGACGATGGGGAGGCGGGAGGAAAAACCTGGCCGGGCACGAGCGGGATGCACCGTTTCATGATACGCGCGCCGCGTTGGGGACTCATCGGGCGCCATTGTTGGGTCACTTCTGAAGGTCTGAAACCCTCCTGGACGAAGGGATATGGGAGAAGGGAGGAGGTGGGGAGGAGGGTATGGACGGATGGTTGTGGCAGCTTTCGAGATGATACCAGAGTCCACTGGTTGTCCGACGATAGGCCGCACCCATAAAGTGAAGGTCGCGACCAAAACTTATTTGCCAGCGGCTGATGTGGACTTTACCATTGTTCGAGCGTCATCACTCGCGTGTGTTGCCCGCCCCTTTCGCCCTGGGGTACCATATCCTAGGGAGTGGTGGAAACGTGTCCGCCAGCTGTGTGCTCGGGCTGGCGTGCTCCGCTGGGGGGTTCTCTTTGGGCCAGGAGGGGGGTCCAGCCTGTGCAGCCCCGTTTGCGGAACCAGGGCTGCTTCAGGGAGACACGTCCCCGAGGGCGCCCGAGGGCATGGGAGCGGCCGCGCCGGTCTGCACCGATCTTCGCAGCATGCCTGCCAGCCTGCGTGCAGGGGCACCGCGAGCAGCAGCAGCAGCAGCAGCAGCAGCAGCAGCAGCAGCAGCAGCAGCAGCAGCAGCAGCAGCAGCAGCAGCAGCAGCAGCAGCAGCATCAGCAGCAGCAGCAGCAGCAGCAGCAGCAGCAGCAGCAGCAGCAGCCACCATCGCCCAATGGCGGGATTCACAAGTGGCCTCTGTACCCGTTTTGGCGCCCCCCTCATCCGTTTCACGCTCACTAGGCGGGTTCGCAGGTGGCGGTCGCATCCGTTTTACCCTCCCAGACGTTTCGCACCCCGTGGGGAAGCCCAAATACAGCACCACCGTGGTTTCCCATGCGGTCGCCACATGGTCGCGCAACCCATTGGGAGCTCCAGTGACGGCCCCAGTGTGCGGGCTCGCACGTTGCAGCCGCATCCGCGTTTGTCAGCAACCCACGCGTTTTGCCTCTTATGAGGTGCCCCAACCGCGGCCCCAGAGAGTGCTTTCGCATGTGGCCGTCGCATCCTCTTTGGCCACCTCTTAGACGTTTCGTGCCCCATAGGGAGCCGCAGTTTCGGCCCCGATGGGCGCGTTCTCGCGTGGGCGCCGTATCAGTCTTTGGCCACCTCCTGAATCTTTCGCGCTCGACTGGGGGCCTCAGCTTGGGCCCCAGCGTGCGGGTTCGCATGTGACCACCGCATCTGTTTTGGCCAATCCATCACACGTTCTGTGGCCCTGGAGGGCGCCAACTGCGGCCCCGCTGGGAGGGTTCGCATGTATCCGCCGCACGGGTGCCAGCCCATCCCCAAGACGTTTCGCACCTCATTGGGAGCCCCAGCTACGACCCCGGCGGGCGGGTTCGTACGTGGCCACTGCATCGAGCCCGTCCCTCACACGATTCGCACTTCATGGGCAACTTCTACTGTGGCCCCAGTGCACTTCTCACACACTTTGTTCGCCAGTGTGGACCCCACCGTTTGCTTTGAAGCTGCAAGGGTCGGGATTGCAACCAGGCCAATTTCTGTGCCTTTTCGGGGCGCATGGGGAAAGGATGACTAGACACTCGTGGCGAATGGGACGGCGGTGTGCTAGTCTGCCGCGTCTCCCTGTTGCCGTTACCTCATTCTTCAACCATCTCCTTCTGCAGGCTGGCGGCGGTCTCGGTCTAGGCATGTGCTCTCGCTGCGCGAGACCCTTGGACGCTCCACTTTTCTTCAAAGCCGCAAAGGTTGCTCTCATCATCTCTGCACCCATGCTCCAACGGCAAGGGTACTGCTCCATCTAGGTGGTTGGAACTTCTCGTTCCACTCATCATGTCTGGGAGGGGAGGGGGACGGTGAAGGTTTGCTAGAGCGAGGGGATAGGATAGGAGGAGGAGGAGGGGGAGTTCTGCTGTCCCCCTGTCCTTCACCTGGCTCTTTCCTATTCTGTCACGCTCTTGCGCGCGCGCGCGCCCAGGGCGCAGTTGCGGCCAGTGGCGCGGTGAAAGCCCGAGGACGCCTCAGCGTTTGAGTCGATCTGTGTCCCTCACACGTCTCGTCCTCCTGGTAGGCATTGTGTATCGTTATCGGAAGGCTGCCCCCTTCATCCGATTCAAGAGGCTTACGCCATTCCGCCGACCCCAGAAGAGGTAAGGAGTCATCGTTTCGCGATTCATTTGGGCCTGATAGAAGCTGTTGTTGGTAGTCCAGCGGCCTTCGGTTCATCCCGCTACAGTGCCTGGCTAGTGGGTCAGAGGCTTCTTGGACGCCAGCAGGGGTCTCTTGAGAAGCATTTGGGGAGCTTCTCTTGGAGACCGTTCTGCTGCCTCTTGTGGACCGTTTGAGCGCCTTTGGGGGCCTCTTATGGGCCTCTTGGGGGCCTCATGGGGCTTCTTGGTGGTTTTTTGGGCGCCTTCTGGCGGTCTCGGGTCTGGTCTTGGGGCGGATGGCTCGACGCATCAGTTTGACTGGTGGGCCCCTCTTGGGGCAGTCTTGGAGCCGTCTTGGGCCGTCTTGAGCGCCTCTTGGGCCGTCTTGGGGCCCTCGTGGGCCGTTTTGGGCGCCTCTTGGGCCGTCTTGGGGCCCTCTTGGGCCGTCTTGGGCCCCTCTTGGGGGCCCTCTTTGGCCGTCTTGGTGCGATCTTGGGGGCCTCTTGGGCCGTTTTGGATTCTGTTGGAACCGAAAAGGCTAATATGCAACAAAGAAGCTTTCCTCATTGGATTGGGACGATTTTTGCCTCTTGAGGCCCTATTGGTGGAGGATTGGGGCGATTATTGCCTCTTGAGGCCCTCTTGGTGGTCCTCTTGGAGCTCTCTTGGGGCGTCTTGGAGGCTTCTTGGGCCACCGTGGGACTAGCTTGGGTGTTTTTGAGGCCTCCTAGAGGTGTTGGACCCCAGCTTGTGCAGGCTGTTATGGAACTATTGGGTATCTTGGAGGCCGCGGAGTGCAGATTTGGAGGCTCCGGAGGCCCCGGGGGTGCATTTGAGGAGCCCGGAGACCCCCCGCCCGGGCCCCCCAGTGCCCCCCCCATCCACCGGATCCAAGACCCTGGGGGAGGGGGAAATGGTTGTGGAGGACGATCAATGGAGAGGAAGCGTGCTGCCAAATAATTTCCAGATGTCTTAAAGATGTTCCAGCTATGTTTCTAAACATGTCAAAAACATGCTTGAAACATGATTAGAACACGTTTTACATATATTAAACACATTTTTAATTGAACGATCGGATTGTCAGACTGTCCACTGTCATGGCATCTACAAGGGAAGGGAGGAGGGGGACAGCCAAGCTTCTCACACGCCTCGTCACCCCTGGCAGGCGGGGGTCGGTGGATTCTCCCCCTCCTCTCATTTCACCTACTCCTCCATCCCCTTCCTCCCTCTTCTCTTCCGTCTCCCCCTCCTCCTCCTTCTTCTTCTTCTTCTTCTTCTTATTCTTATATTTCTTCTTCTTCTTCTTCTATTTCTTCTTCTTCTTCTTCTTTTTCTTGAGGCTCAAACCATACCCATTTTGGCTCAGGCCTCGGCTTGCCGAGATGCGCTGCGCAGCTCACTTGTTGTGCTCGCTCGTTTCTGTGTATGTCGTGCCCGCGCTCGCCACGGCCGTTCGCGTGGGTCGCATACTCTGGTGTTTTGCTGGACTGCCGTTGCGGAGGGTCCGCGGCAACATGGTCTGCCTCCATACCGCGGCGCAGTTCATCATCGTGCATCTTCACGGCCAGGAGCTTCCGTCGGCTGGAGCGGCTTTCGCAGCTACGTTTTGTGTTCCGAGTTCCTCGACATGGCCAACCACGTCAAGCACAACAGGTTCTTTCGGAATTGTCGCATCTTGACGGCGGAAGCAACGCCCAGCGAAGCTTCAGAACGTCATCATATACGACGCAGTGAAACCAAGTCGCCTCCTTCTTCTGGACAATATTCCGCCTGAAGTCGCTCCCATCCAACCCGAAGTGCTTCATCATCCTTATGATCGTGCTCCTCGGTAGTCAGTGCAAGTCCCTGACGGCGCTGTTCAAGTTGGTAGGCTGGCTTCGAATCCGTCTGCAGCCGAATTCGTCCCTGGAGGTTCTCAGGCAGTTCCAGGTGCATGTGCATGTTGGTTTCAGCTTGCTGCCCCTTGTACTTCTATATCTTGGTATCGCTCGGACGTGTGCACTTTTTCTCGGCGGAGATTTCTAAGGAGCATCCTGAATCATCCTGCGAAAGAAAACCACGCACGAAACAAAAACAAGCACAGGGAATGGACGTCCGAGCGACGGGGAGATACATGTGCGAGCAAGACGATGACGGCTTTGGGATCCCAGATGGAAGGCGGGCGCCCCACGTCGCGGAGGCCCACGACGGGGGAGCTCCGAGCGCCCCGCCCGCAAGTCCAGAACTGCGACGCCAAGCTCCCGCAGCTCGCTCGGACCCGCGCCTTCGCCGTTGGAGCGCGCAGTTGCCCGTCGCCCTTCCGACCTCCGTCGGCAGCAGGAGGCTGAAGAGAGGTGCTTCGCGTCACCCTGGGAAGATCAGGGCCTCCGTCGCCGCGGACACGCACGACCCGCGGCCCGAGCTGCACGCCGTGCTCCTCCCGGCGAGTTCGGACAGCTGGCTTCCGCAGACGGGCCGCTGGCCGCCAGCCCGCCGGAAGATCGAGCATATCTCACAGCGTGAATTACCTACCCCGCTTTCGCTTCCAGGCCAAACCAAGCCATACCACGCGCCTCCTCGTCAAGCGGCCTGACCAGTACAGGCCGCAATTTGGCATCGTTTGGTATCTCTTGGAAGCGAGGGTGGTCAAAAGCGAGGTAGGTTTGTTTTCCCCCGAATATCGCCCTCCGGCCCTGGGCGCGTGGTCTGGAAGACCCCACGCTGCGGCGCCTGAGTGGTCAGGAACATCCGAGCCGCCACCCGTTTTTCAAGGGAGGAGAAGAACCACCCGGACCGGACAATGGGCGTTTACTGAACGGCCCTGGGCGTTTGCTACACAGCCCTGCCCTGTTTGATTCCTTCTCTGGGTGCGTTCACTAAGCGGCTTCGCGTGTCGGGGTGGTGAGTATCGGGGTGGATTTCCTGCCCTCTAGTTTTGCCAGGGCCATCTGCATCGCAGCGGAGTGTACTCCCGATTGGTTCTTCCTCCCCGACGGGCTCGGAGACGTCCGACGGCGGCCCTGCGCCTCCCATCCACATTGCCAGGTGCCCACTCGGCTTGGAGAGCTCCGCAGGTCTTCCCGCCCACGTCGGCGAACCCGCTCGGCCTGCCGTGGCGCCATCGGAGCCTGAGCAGTCGAAGGCGAGGAATGAGAGGAAGGAGAAGAAGGAGACGCGCAAATAATGACAGGGCGGCAAAGACCGCCTGCGACTCGGCTTTGGAGGCCCTGGCCTCTCTGACGTTCCACGGCTTATTCCGTTGCGCTCCAGGGTCTGCAGAACGTCTGGACGTTGACCAGGTGCTCGGGTCGCCTCGTGGGCAGGGCCGACCCCCGCGTCTGCGAGGGGCTCCAGGACGGGCTGGGGGCAGCGAGCCTAATTCCAGGGAGCATCAGCCGCGCGCCTGCCGCTGAGACCTCCGAGGAGGCTCCGTGAGGTGGCGGGCACGAGTGCGCCAGGATGCTGTGCGAGAGCACGTTCGGCGGGGCGCCCTCTCCCGAGGCCTGCGGCTGGTCGTCTTCGCGTTGTCCTCACCACTCACTAAACCACCTCAACCCAACCCGAAGGCCTCAATTTGCCCTCCATTTCCAGTTGGAGGGCGTCGGGGAACACTGAAAAAACACATGGAACCCGTACCCCCCCAACCCGAAATTCGGGTCAAATTCGGGTCTTCGGGTTGGGTTGGGGTGGTCTGGTAGGTAGTCATGTCCTGCACCCTCGATGGTTCCGTCGCCGTGCTGGATGACCAGAGGCGCTGCTGCTGCTGCTGCTGCTGCTGCTGCTGCTGCTGCTGCTGCGGTCCGTTCCGTATGCGCATGCCGCCGGCAGACCTGGACCCTCTGCTCGCCGAACCCTGGACCTGTCGCCTCGGGCTCTGCCCTGCTGGGCTGCATGGGGGCACAGTCAATTCATCGCGTCGTGCCTTTTTTTCCACGCCTACGATTACAGACGCGACCTCCACTCCGGCGGCTTCGGTAGCATCGGGGACAGCAGCACGGACCGTACAGCTCCCAGGCCCGCCTGTGTGCAGCTCGCGCTCGCCACATCACGCGCTCGTTGCGTACAGTTCCGCCGCCGCAGTGGCCGCTCTCGCGAGTAGTTGCTCGGCCATCAGAACATCGCTGATCCGCGGCCCCTGGACGGGCCCTCTGTGTCACGAGGGCTCCTCCCCCTCCTCCCCCGCCTCCACCTCCTTCTCCCCCTCGTCCTCGTCTTTCCCCTTCTTTCGCTTCCGCCACCCCTTCCGCTTCCTACCCTTCGTTCTTCGCCCCCTCCGCTTCTTCGTCCCTCGCTTTCCCGTCCTCTCCAGCCCTTTCCCTGCATGCCCTCTCCTGGACCGCCTAGGTCGTCCCTTCCCTCCCCGCGTGGACAGATCGTGGATTGATCCAATGTCTTAGGCCGACAGTGCAAACGCCTACACGCCAACGCTTCGCTCCACAACGGACGTCAGCAGCGCGAGGTTGAGCAATGCGACGGGATGCAACATAGTGTTTCTGATATCAACTGGCCTTGTCGCGCGAACATTTTCAGCAGCGCGGCGATGGCCAGCCCGATGGGTGCCGACGACGCGTCGTTATGCAGCTCTGCGGGTTTTAACGCCACAGCGCTTAGCAGCCTGAGGGGGACCCGGAGTTCGTTTCTGGCGTGCGATCGTGCGCATCATGGTGGGTTCCATCAGCCGACGCTGATCTGCTCGGGGCGTACGTGATTGTTCGAGTATGATGCGCCCACCTGGGGTGAGTAAGCCTCTCCCCCTCGCAACATCCACATCTGGCCGCTCGCATGGTCAGCACAGTTCTAGCATTGTCAGCACGAGCTCCAGCGCGTCCAGCACCAACAGGCCCACTATCAACACGTCCGCCCGTTGGCGGCAGCAA